CTCTCTCTCTCTCTCTCTCTCTCTCTCTCTCTCTCTCTCATATGCAAACAAGATCATTACTTGTCATTTCTTTGCTTGCAGTAATACTGATATCCTCTGTATGTTGAAACAATAAAGAATATAAGAATAAACCTCAGTTTAGTCGTGTTTACTTTATATTTAGTGCAAATTAGCAAATGCTAACACACTCAACTAAGATGGTGAACATGGTTTTTAACAAACCTGATAAACATTAGCATGTTGTCATTGCGAGCATGTCACTAATTAGCTTAAAACTCCACATCGGTATTAATGACATAAAAAACATCAATCCGAGATTCTCAGAGAAGAGTTTGTGCATCTCGTGGACAGTCAGAGAAACAATGCATCATCTCCAAATATCTACCATCATTCCAGACTTAAAGCTATAATGTGTAAATATTTCCACATTAAAATGTCTAAATAGCTAGATCTGTCTTATATAATCTTTCCTCGTTTAGACTGCTGCTCCCTCTTCACTCGCATTACTCAGTCCTCTCTGATCTGCTGGATCTGTGTTCTGTTTGAAGCGATTGCTGAAAACAAATTTTGTATATGTTAGCTTTTCTATAAGCACCCGTTTGCCTTTAGTTTTTGGCCGTATGCTTCAGTCTTTGGCATGTATTATGCATATATATGTATGTATGTATGTATATATGTTACTTTATTTTATCCTATATGTGAAGCACTTTATATGTTTTAAAATGTGCCTTATAAATAAGATTACTACTTTGTTATTAAGTGTGGTACGATGAATTAAAGGGTGACATTTACTGCATGTTTAATATTGAACATAAATATATTTTAGCACGCTGATGTTAGCATTTAGCTCAAACTATTGCTTGTTAGATTTGACATGTATCAAATTCAACTGAGTGGAGTTCCTGTTTTTGTAATATTGTTCATTGTTGGTAATAATAAAGATTTATATATTTCCCAATATATTAGGAATTCATTTCTGATACTGTGATAGATAGGTTGATAGAATAGATAGATAGATAGATAGATAGATAGATGGATAGATAGATAGATAGATAGATAGATAGATAGATAGATAGATAGATAGATAGATAGATAGATAGATAGATAGATAGATAGATAGATAGATAGATAAAAACAAGTCTCATGTCTTTTGCTTGCAAATACCTTTATGTTTTCATGTCATTTACAGTTATTTACATGACTCAATATATAAAACATTTTTCTGTCATTCTCTCTCTCTCTCTCTCTCACTCTATTTTTCTATCTCTCTCATTTCAGGACCGATCCCTGTGGGTGGAGGGACAGACAGGCAGAAGAAGGGAGCTTCGTATTGGTCATTAAAGTATCTGATCATCCCTGCCCAATGAGAATTATCTGCTGCTTAAACAGCCAATCAACACCGTCCTTGTTAAAAGATTATTTTCCTGACAAGCAATCTTTTTCTAGTGCTGCAAAACCTCTTAGTGAGGAGGTCAGGGTGAACAGATGCAACGAGGAAATCACTAGTTATATCCTTTTTCTTTCTGACGGTAAACATTTTAATCATGAAGTCAATAATTCCCAACTTTATCATCCTGCTGTAACCCCGCCTCCTAGAAATTACATTTATTCAGTACTGCACTTCCTACACTCAAAAAAACATTGTCGCAAAAAAACTATTTTCAATTAGTCATTTGGGTAATTTGGGCCAAAAATATCCTCAATTGTGAATATTTGCTCCTTTTTTTAATTTAATAAACACAGTCTGTATCAGGAAAAATCTGCTGGACATTTTTCACTGTTGTGTGAGGTTTTATTGACTAAACTACTAATCAAGACAATAACTGGTAATTAATCAATAATAAAAAATAATCCTTAATTAGGCTGTGATTACACTAAACAAATGATTCATTATTCACTGAATGTTGGAAATTAATTCAATTTCTAGGAGACAGGGAGTCAGATCAGAGAACGCTCATACGGGCTGTTTGGAGGACTTGTTGGCCAATCAGTCTGCTCATCTTCTATCTGTCTCTTCCCTCTCTTTTGTCCTCCCTCACTGCTCTCTCTTCTGCTCCTGTCCGTCTTTGTTGATGACATTTTTGAAGAGCGTGAGCAGGGGCCTCTGGCTGCGCTCGTCCCAGCTCTTCATGAAGCCACCGTAGCGTTTGCTGGCCGGCGGCCCGCCCCAGCGGAAGTGCTTCATCTTGTACGTGCCATCCTTCTTCTCGTGGAGCTGCTCCTCTTCCGCCACCTCCTGTGCCTTCTCCTCGTCCTCTGCCGCTATAATCTCGCTGGCAAGCTCTCGCCTTCTCATCTCTTCAGGGAAAACCTCGGCTGACTCCTCCTCCACGCCGTTGGAGGTGAAGACTTTGACCGGGCGGCGCTTTCGTCCAACAGGCTTCCCCCAGCGGAAATGCTCCATGGAGTAGGAGCGCTTGGCCTGTGGAGAGGAGGAGGAAGAGAACAGGGAGAGGGGAGGCAGAGACTCTGATGGAGGAAGAGGTTGGAGGTGGCCATCGCCCGGGATGATCGGTGTCTCTGCGGTGAGGTCGGAGCGACAGAGCTGGATACACTCCTGCAGGAGAGGACAGAGAAGGTGTTGACTGTAATAAGTGAACAGAGAGGAGACTACGGAGAATGGAAAAGCTCGCAAGGCATTGCCAGTATGCAGGGGTCAGAGGTCAAGGGATCCCTTTGGAAATGGCCTTGCCAGTTTTTCCATTACCAAAATTTTGCATGCTATCATGACATGTTAGGTACCAATGGATGTGTTAGGTCGTTGAGTTTCATATGACACCAGTAAGTCTGAAAAAACGGTGCAGAGTGGAAGAGGTAAGGATAATGGGGAGGCACTTGACGTGGCCAATCAGATTTCAGGGTGTCCAGTGCCCCTGCTTGTACCAAAATAAACCTGGAGGTCAACCAGCAGTTTGCACTCTGACATTTGTGCTGAAAATGCTAAAAAATGGAGGAAAACCAGCAGAGTTAGGCGAGATCCCGCATGAAGAAGCTTGTATGACTGTATAGCCAAACAGCTCAACAGTCCTAATGTGGGTCCACACCTTCAACACAGTCTTGTTGCCATAGTGAGGTTGCCAGGCAACCAGCACAATACCCAGAGATGCTGTTTTTAAAGGTCATTTTTACATTTCTGTCTGGTAAACAAATGAGATTCAACATCGAGGCACACTGGCTGTTTCCTCCTGCTTCAATACTTTATGCCAAGCTCAACCTGAGACCACATCAGCAGACATTTAAAGCAGGTAAAGCAAGAAATGTGTTGTTATAACACACTTCACACTGGTTATATATCAGACATTGTGGTTATCACCAGTGTACCTGTGTGTGTGTGTGTGTGTGTGTGTGTGTGTGTGTGTGTATGTGTGTGTGTGTTACCAGCATGTTGCTCTCAGAGTTGAGCTCCTGACAGCTGGGATGTTCCAAACACTGACCAACAGCTCCTCTGGCCACGCCCGCCAGCGCCACAGCCACCAATAACCACACAGGACACATTTCCCTGCGGCCAATCAGAGATAGCGACACATACATGTGATCTTCTGCAGACATTTACAAAGTAAAAGGCTCTCATAACGACGCACATGCAGTCAGATTCAAATCAGGTTCATTCATTTGGTTTTAATTTGTATTTCCAAAGCACAGCAGTGATTTTAAAAGTCATAAATGTAGAGAAATAAATAGGCCCACAGCTGAAACATTATCTTCAGCACAGAGAAACACTAAATAAAGTTAAACATTAAAGTGAAAAAAACAGTGTGGTGTAAATATCAAAAGATAAAAATCTGAAAAACAAACAAACATGACAACAAAATGTTTTTTTAATGATTAAAAAGTTCCACAATACTCATTATTGTATACACTTTATATAGACATTATTGTAATATACTGCAATTATAATATACAATATTTCACTGCTACCACATTCACTGCACATGGTAGAAATTAATATTTGACACGCAAGAAAATTGTTTCAGTGTCTTTTGTTGAGATGATGAAATAAAACAACAAATGTATGTATGATGAAATAAAACTTTACATGTTTATGTAATCACCAAAAGATCACCAATAACTTTAACTTAAAATATGATGTATAGAGTTTGTGGGATTGCTGCATTTACTTACATAAAACATCTCAATACTTCTTCCACCACTGATATTTGGGGAAGATTTTGAACAGCTTTTGTTTGAACCTGTGTAATCTGTGTACTTTGTACTGTAAGAAGATGGACGAACAATTGATCTATTCCAGCGCTTCCTCTGAAGTCGTCACTATTAATTCCTGCATGTTTCCAATGTTGCGTTATATTTGCACAGGTAAGCTCATGCTATGTGTTTAATAAGTGGATCTTTAAAATACTTTAACTCCATGGGTCATTTACCCCTATATCTATAGTATTTATAATATTTTTGGCTTTCTGTACGTTTCTCTTGACAGCATTATTTTTTCTTATTACAAACAGTCTAATGTAAAACAAACTTTTAATGGCTTTAACTGATTTTATGCTTGATTTGATATTGTTTTTTCTTGAGTTTTACTCTTTGTCTGCCTTTTATTTATTTATTTTGTAGTTGTGTTGTTTTTATTGATCATTTTGTTTCACATACTTAACATTGGTTATGAGTTATTTTACTGTAGTTACACTGAATTATGTTATTGTTTGTTATAATATTGATTTGTTGTATTATTGTTGTTAATATTGAAAATATATATAAAAATAGTTAGTGTCAGCCTATATAATATGTATTTATTTAAGCATATAGTGTATAAATATATGTTTTAATAAAATACATTATAAAAACAGGCTTGAAGAAATAAAATAAACATATAAGGAAGAAACTCACCACGCTGTCCTGTCTTTCTCTGTTGTTTTCTTGTTGTTCAGCTGTTGGACAAAGATTTCTGTCCCCTCCACTTCTGTCCCTCCAACCAACCCGATGATTTTATATCTTCAGCCAAGGACACACACACGCACACGCGCACACACACACACATACACACGCATGCATGATGACGTTATTACCTGAAATCTCCCCATCATTCTCTTATTCATGCTTGTAAACACGTACTGCTCCATGAAAATGGACAATCAATGAAATATCATCCCCCTCTTCCACCCACACAAACACACACACACACACACACACACACACACACACACCATCAGCATCATCATCATCATCACTCTCCAATGAAAAGCCCCTAACTCAAAAAGCTGAACAAGTCAAGATGCCACGCAAGCTGTGAGGCTGTAATGCTCATTGAGAAGAACCTGTTACAAAGATCCAAGCTTTGGTTTTAAAAGTGATTTTTTACATACTTTCAGTTATCAAACAAATGAACGTCTGTTGGTCTCACAGGATAGATTGTGGTGAAATTTTGACATCCATGGTCCCCAAAGGTTGAATCCTACTGACTTTGGTGATCCTCTGACTTTTCCTGTAGCACCACCATGAGGTGATGATGACAGTTGTGGTCTTGTGTAACTTCCTTTCAATTATTCAACAGATTGCCATAAAATTCAAACATTTGTTCAGGATGAATTGTAATAATTGTTTTGCGCCGTCATCAAGTCAAAATGTCACTTTTTCCAATACTTTGGTTCATGACCAAATACCTGCAAAACTAATGACATTCCCATCAGCCTTGACTATACTTTAGTGTTTAGTGCTTATGATTCCCATCGATTCGTAGGGGCCTAACTATAACTATATTGTTTTAAAAATCTTACTGACACCACAACTGTAACGACAACGACAGTGACGAACGATATTGTTGGGATCACTTTTAGTGCAATTTAAGTTAACAATATCATGGTGTACAACTTATTAAATGCGTATATAACGTAGGCTGCAGATTACACATACATAATATAATTGTAGCACTGATGGGGTCTCTGGAGTTTGTTTGGTACTTATTGTTTTGTTTTTGTGTATGAAGTATGAATAAAATCGTACCGTAGTCGCACGCAACAGAAAGAAACACAACATATTAATCTCCATTCACCACCTTGCTGCTGCTGCAGCTGTTAAATGTCAGCGGACATATGAAGCAGATTAACACCAGACCAACATGTTGTCACAGGGGAGAAAAGGGGATTCAAACCTGTGGGTCAGAGTCTACAGTTACACACACCCTGGCCTGCTGCAGCATCTCTCCATTGTTTGAGCCCTCAGTGTGACTAATGACGGATCTGAAGGGGATTGACTTGTTTAACGGACCACCAGGGAAAAGGCTGATGAGGGGGAACATCATTTTTAAAGTTCAGTGTCAACCAGGAGACTCGCTTTAAGACTCTGAGGTTATGCTGACCGGCACTTTCAGACCCTTCATCCACCAGGAGCCTCTCTTTTCAGCTCCAGGTCCACTATTATAAAGGCATCCGTTTACAGAAGTGTTTGTCAGAAGGTTGGACACTGTCTGAAAACTGTACTCTATCAATGTCATAATTTGAGTGACTGTGTCTCAAAAATGTATGTAATTTTCTGAAAAAAGTCACGTGCAGTGATTGGTTGGGTGTGTGGAGGTGTAAACGTGGCCAGACTATGAACCTTTTCCCTCAAACTACATAGATCACTGTTTGTATGTATAGTATGTTTCTTGTTTTAAGCATACTCCGGTCGTAGAGCTCCATGTACGCCAGCAACCTAAGATAAGATACGATAAGATGTACCTTTATTGATCCACCTTTGGAGATATTTAAAAACCACTTTATATGGCTCTACATCCACATAGAACCTCTTTTTAAAACGTCACCGCTCTAAGTCTGTTTTTAAGGCTATATGTTCCTCCGTCTGTCCTTTCTTTTTTTTCTGTTTTTCTAATGGAACAAACTGAGGCAGGCAGGTAAATATAAACCCATTAGAGGGCTCCCACAGCCTTGAACCTCCATTCAATCCATTACACACACACACACACACACACACACACACACACACACACACACACACACACACACACACAGAGAGAGAGAGAGAGAGAGAGAGAGAGAGAGAGAGAGAGAGAGAGAGAGAGAGAGAGAGAGAGACAAAGACATTCTGGTATGTTCTGGAAGAATATAAAGTGGTAAAGGCAGGATAAAACAAAAGTCAAACCAATGACATTATCGACACAGTATCAGAACTGGCGGCACTTTATTCACCAAATCCTGCAATTAAATGTTCAATTAAATAAGTCTTTTTGTGCTTTTGTCGACACTGAACAAATACAGTCCTGCAAAAAATATTTTCAGAATAAAACCATTTTGCTGTAGCACTGAAATCAACAGTAGAGTTAAAGTAGCACCTTACATTAAGTGCATTTATTAAAATGGTCATTACTGTTTAGTCAACAGCCAAATGTGCCAAACGTTTTGCTGAAGCTGAAGTGCAGTTTGATATAGACAAATCAAAGCTGCAGTGTGACCATGAATTCCAGATGCACATCCTTAAACATGTAATCAGATTCACATGTCACATGTAACGGTCAACAAGGTCAGCGGTCTGTACCATTCGATTCATATAATAGTAAAAAACGATGATATATTATTAACTTAATTTCATAAGCTTTAGTAAAGTCCAACAATATGATACTAATTGTATTTCTGAGACAGAATAAAGATTTGATCGAGTACATTTGACAATAATACAAGTTACAGAAGTCAAGATGAATACAGGAGAGAAGTCAGTGCTATAGATACAGGTCAGAGGTCAGTACTGTCTATTTGATTCATATAATAGAAACAATAATGATATTGTAACTATTAACGTTATTCCATGTTTTAGTGAAGTCTAATAATTTGACACTAATTCTGTGATACAATTGAAAGAAAGAAATGCAAATATTCTAGTTAACTGTGTTATGTCAGTTACTGTAACTCGAGTTGCATTACATAAATCCCATTATTTGTAATCTATTACCTACCAGTCTACCTTCCCTGCCAATCCCCTTAGAGGATTATTAGAATAAGATGTCATACACACACACACATACCGACACACAAACACAGACATACACACTGACCAACAGTCTCCTGGTTGTCCTGATGCTTTTCCATTGAGGTGAATTCAGCGCTGGGATGCTGGGACATACAGGGTGACATGCAGGTAGGTGAAATAACTAATATTGTGTTTCCACTTAAATAGAAAATTCATATTAACCATAGCATCATAACAAACTTTGTTAATGTTTTAGCTCATTCGCTGCCTTTAGTTTTGTTGTCAAATTGCATTGTCATCATGTGGTAATACAGTTGAAAGTAGGGACAGTTCTGACTTTCTTGAAGGTGCATTTAAGAACAAGGAAATGTAGACAAGTAAAAGTCTTAATTTGCCCAAAATCTATAGTAGATTTTCCCCCACTGAAGATAGTAAAGAATTAGACAACAAACAATGTCTGTGTTTGTGGCACAAATCCATGGGCAAACTTCATCTGGACTTGTTTCTACTCTTCAACATTTTGTTTCCAACCACAGTGGCAGATTCAACCCTCAGCTCTGAACCTTTCCTTTGATTTGGCTTGGACCTCGGCAGGATCTGGGTTGGATTTATATCTGTTTACAAAGGACCAGTATCATCTAAAACTACTCTCTTCACCTCAGTTTCTTTTTTCTTTCAAGATTTGTTCAGTTAATCATCACATTGATGGAAAATAGTTTCTCTCACTGATTGTAACCCTGTCTTCTGGACTAAAAAGTAACAAGAGTTTCAGGGATCTCTTCTGCTACCAATCCAATGAATGTTGAAGCACAAGCCCTTGCGCCATTGGACCAGGTTGAGCACTTTCATAGAAACCTGGCTGGGATGTTAGAGTTTGAAGGTCCAGTGGGTTTGTGTTTAAGCCGTGAATCATGGACAAAAATTCCATTTGAACAAAACTTCATCTGGACTTTCTTTCACTTTGTTTTGGACTGTCCATCCCCATCCTGAATCTAAGCCTCAAGCCTAACTTTGGGCCAAGTCTGGACCTCATCTTGCTGCTGACATCTGACCCTGATGTTGATCCGGCAACAGATTCTACAGGTGACTTCACTCCAAATCAATAACCAGGGAGTTATTGAATGTTCAGGATGAAGTTGCAATCCATTTTAGTGACTTTTGTCTTACTGATCGGCTGGTGTTACCCGTCTACAGCCTCTGATGAACACCCAGATGTTGGACATGATGAGGATGTACACCCCAATACCCTCACAGAAACAAACGGGGATGTTCTGGACATTGATATCCTAACAAGCAGGGATGTACCTGACACAAACACTGAAACAAACTGGGACGACAACAACAAGGACAACTATGAGGACGCTGATTGGCATCCTCCTTCCTCCCTCTTGGAAACAGACCACGACCTGCACCCAGACTTCCCGCCGGTGATACGCAGTGGCAACACTGGTGTTACCAACAGTGCCAACCAAACCTTCAACCGGACTATTAGTAGTTCATCAGCACAGTGCGGTGAGTACAGCAGCCAGCTGATGTCTAACGGCCAGTGCCGGCTGATAGCAACGCTGCCTCCAGTGCCGGTGGGAACGTCACAGAAGCGTTGCCCAGATATGTTCCGCTGTACAGACGATGTCTCAAATTGGCTTCACGAGAACCAGAACAGAAAGGAGCAACTGGAGGAGCTAAGAGAGACAATGTCAGAGCTGCAGGAGGAGCTGAGGAACCACCGGCATCGAGTCAAGGTCCTGGAGATGCAGGTACACACTGTTCAGTAGTTTACTATACATACGTATGTGTATATACACAATGAAACAGCAGCTTAACTTTCTTAAAGGAATAACATTTGGAAATTACACTGTGTTCAATTTTATAGGCAAATTTATTCATGGTGCCAGAAACTGATGTTAAGACATGTTTGCACGAGTTGTAAATGCTCCAACTTGAGTGAAAAGGTTTCATGTATCCCTTGACTTTACGTATCTGCTTCATGTGCAGACATAAGAGGAAAAACGAGACACTGGAGGAAAATCCGACAGAGGCTGAGCTGCCTCAGAGACATGTGCATCCATAAACAGGCGTGAGGCTGTGCATAAACTGAGCCTAGAGCACCACCATGGGATATGTGGGGGTTGATCAACAAAGTTCATCAACAGAATAGAAACAATACAGGCAATGCCCCAAAACACTAACATCTGATAATATTGCTTTTTAATACATGCAGTTGTTTTCCAAAATAGGTTAAAGGACTATTCTTTCTCTCTCACACCATTGTTTATCTCTGCCTCTTGTTATCTCTCTGTCTGTCTTAATCTCTCTGTCTTGACACCCACTAAGTCCTCCTTAACCCTGAATGCTAACAGGATTAGCTGCATGGGCCCAATATCCTTCTGTGTCTGCGTGACCCAAAGAGCATGTTTCTGGGCTGCAGTGTCTCCGGACTGCCCCTCCTCAAAATCAAGCTGAGGTTGCAAGCTGACTTTGTGATGTGGTGCCATTGTTTACTGCCGGAGGTTTAACAGAAAGTCTAAATGTACCTGTACTTGTGTTTGCTGTCAATGAAAACTATAGATTTGGATGTCCATCTTGGTATTTCACTATATTAGTCCACATAAATGAGGCAATAGCTAAATCTTGCCAAGATGATGATAAAAAGAAAAGTACTTACTTACTAAAAGGTAACTGGTGAGCAGCAGTAGCCATCTTGTATATATATTAAATAATAGATAAGACACTTTCCGTGTGCATTTCCTCAAAACTGTCTCAACCTTACAGTTTCTTTCTTTTAGGAGAACAATGACAAATCTCACCAGCACCTTATACAGATTTAACACTCTCATTTCTTCTCTCTTTCTGTCTTGCAGGATGGAGAAAGTGTTGGTTTAAACTCAACCTTTGACCAGCGGTTGCATTCTCTGGAGTTGCGTTACACCAAGGCCGACACATTGCTCCACGTGCACGCAGCGCTGCTGTACGAGCTGCAGGAGCAGCTCCACAACCTGTCAGACACCGTGGAGCGCATGAGCCGCAACACGGGCTGCACGATCAACGTAATCAGAACCACACCGCTGCTCGGCATGCGTGACACACTGCCACCAGGTACACATGCAACCAACACAGTGGTGAGTTGCATGTTGCACAACGTTCTTGCAACCTTACAGCCACACAGTTCTTCCTGAAGGCCACATGACTTATTTTATTCAGATTCAGCAAACAATGTTTTATTTTAAAGTTAAACTACCACCAGTCAGATTTATTTCCTTGGCTTTGCGTGTCCCAACCTGTCCATTGATGCTTGTATTGTGTCTGTGTTGTTTTTTATGTCGGGGTGTTCTTGTAGAACGTTGTTACCCTAAGAAAAGTATGGCTCCAGGAAAACACATGAAAAACCCAACCTGTTAGAAGAGATGAGGAATATATTCTTCCACCCAGAAGTGAACATTTTGTGACAGCCCAGGTTTATAAATACTAAATACTTACTAATGTAAGTGCATGGATGGAGTTTAATATACTTCTGATTGACAGTTTTCATTGTTGTACAGTTTATTGGTTGTGTCTAATGATGCAGTTCATCATTGAGATTATGATATTTACTTGCAACATTCTCAACATAATCAGATTTAGTTGACAGTTTGATGGTTTCATGATGCTGAGTGAAGCCGTCTCTGTCTTTCTCTCTCTCTCTCTCAGATGGACAGCACCTGTCTTTCTGTCCATCGGACTGTGCATCTCTGTATCTCAATGGCGTTCGTCGCTCTGGTGTTTACAACATAGTCCTGTCGCCAGGCGCCACCCTGCCTGTCTACTGCGACATGGAGACCGAGGGTGAGGCACGCACCTTTTTCATGACATTAAAGCGATGATCAGCTGCAGATCAGGTGACTAAGTTGAAATGGTTTTGTCATGTTTGGAGCCACGCCCACAGACACGCCCTCTACCACACCTTGAAATAGAAAGGTAGAAAGAGTCTGTGTCAGTGTATGTTATACACCTTCTGCACAGCTGTGTGCACTCTAATGTGTCTACCTGTACAGTTGTCTACCAATGTGTGTGTACCTTTGTGTGTTTATTAATACCAATATTTAAACATAAAAATAAACATTCGCTGTGTACGTGTGTGCCTCAGGTGGGGGCTGGACGGTGTTTCAGCGGCGGCGCGATGGCTCTGTGAGTTTTAACCGCGGCTGGTCGGAGTACCGCAGTGGGTTTGGCGAGCCGCTAGGAGAACACTGGCTGGGCAACCAACAACTCCACCTGCTGTCCAACCATGGCCATTACAGCCTCCGCATTGACCTGCATGACTGGAGCCACGCCCACAGATACGCCCTGTACCACACCTTCAGGTAGATAGACTGTGGAAGAGGGCTAGAAGAAGGATTGGTATTATGTAATTAGTGGACAGAGCTTTCGTGTCTGAGAAAATAAGTTTAAGTGTCTTAAACCTGCATTCTTTCTAATGACCAGCAGGGGGCAGCTCAATGGGCTGCAAAAAAGAAGTCAGATAGTATTAAGTCTTATGAAGAAATGAGCCAACCTCTGACTTGATTAATTAGATCAGTGAACAGTTTCCTAATGAGTTTATGGTCTCAATCTCTAGTTTCAGTCTTCTTCTATACAGCACGATGTTCATTTAGTAAATGATGGTCCCATTTGGCCCCGATAAAACAGGGCATGCTTTAGGGCCTGGAGATTATTTATAGAGATTATAGTTCCTCCTACTCCTTCTGCAGAATAGAGGATGAGGAGAACCAGTACCGCCTCCATGTGTCTGGTTTCAGTGGAACGGTGGAGGATTCGTTCGGTTGGTACCACGACCAGCAGGGCTTCAGCACTCCAGACACGGGAAACATCTGTGCCGAGATCAGCCACTCCGGTTGGTGGTTCCACCAGTGTTTCTACGCCAACCTCAATGGCGTCTACTACAAGGTAGGACTGTCTACAAGAACAAGATTGTTGTTACGTTGTACAAATTTGTTAATGTTGTACTTGTGTTTATCCACCAGGGGGGGCGCTACTCTTTGAAAGCCAAGAACCTACTCGGCCCGGACGGCATTGTCTGGTTCTCCTGGAAGGAATCAGACTTCTACTCTCTGAAGGCGGTCACCATGATGATACGGCCACGCCACTTCAGACCACGCTTGTCGCCATAGTGATGGAGGCTTTTTTTAAATTGAGCAACAAATAGAAGTCTGAAGGGCTGCTAATAACCGCCTCCAGGGGCTGCCAGACATACTCACTAAAGCATCAACTATGTATTTATCGGCTGCTTGCTCCTGAATAAGTAGCATCTGTGAAAAACTACAGTGGTCAGCTGTTATATGAAAGTCTTTTTTAAATAAAATTATATGTTTGTGAGACATTTTTTTAAGATTTATGCCTTAAGTGGGAACCAAGTCTAAGTCAGAAAGTACTGAGACAGACTAACATTGCTACCTCCTCATCATACCCACTGTAGATGTCTTCAGTTGCACACAAACAATTTTCATTATACATTTATTTATTGGAACAGGTATTAAGTTTTACATCTACAGGACGTCCCAAAGTCACCGACCTCCTTAAACCCCAAAAAAACTGTAGTTGTGAAGGTGTGAATTCCAGCAGGTTGTGTTTCTCAGTCATGCAACCTGCACAGGTGAACCTCCTCAGAAATGACTCTAATAAAACATTCTTTACAGACAAGATGGTTCAATTAGAGGTCGGCCAGTCTTCGTGCTGCTGTTGTGTGGTTGGGATAGTTTGCCCTCAGACTGCGGGGCTGACCGACGCCAAGAGGCGGAGGGGGTTTACGGGCGCTCCCTGGGGCGGGTGACGTAATGCCACCACAGAGGGGGGAGTTCGCCCTCTTGGCGAGCAGGAGGGAGGGTTTCGGTCTTGGGGCCGCCGTCTTTAGTCTCAGCCTGCAGCTGGGCGACCTGGAACCAGACAGGAGAGGGAAAGGTTAAACACACGGGCTGCAACAATTATTTTCATTATCATTCGGGGTCTTTTGTCTATGAAATGTCAGAGAGCTGTGAAAAGGTTCAATCACAATTTCTCAGAGCCAAAGGGGAACACTTCACATTGTTCAAGGTATTAAATGAGTGATATAAAACAGAGAGAAGCACATTTGAGAAGCTGGAGCCAGCAAATATGATTATCACACTGTGAATGTTTGAATACTTCCACATTATTTTAATTTCAAGTTTATTTTCAATGAGAAAATGTTTTATCTTTAAGGCTGTGACATGCTGACTGGGTCTCAATAGTCTAAGCTAACTCAAGCGCCACCTGGTGGAAATAACCGATACTATCAGCTTGCTGGATAAAGTTCATACGTGCACATACATTGTCAAAGGTAAGTTGCTCCCATTCACACCAACAATTAACACCCATTTCTCCTGGGTTCATCCTTTACTGTTAGCAGGGTGAGCAGTACTGTAATGTATGGAGAATATAGAACAGTGAAGAGGGTGATAGGTGGTATGTAAAAGGTCTCCTGTGGACAGACAGGATTGATGCCCACCTCTTTGTCCCAGCTGAGCGCTCTCAGTTTCTTCCACTGTTCCCTCTTGGTGAAGTAGTCGGGATACATGGCCTTCTCTGAGGGGTGCCAGTGGTCCAGCAGCCACTCTGGGGCCTACAGGAAACAAAGCAGAGCTCAGGACTGATATCATAACGACGGTCAACATTTAAACTTTCCAGCAGAGGGCAGTGACACTAAGAGCACACACACTTCCTCAGCATCCCATAAACTTTTTCTTTCTGTAGTAACATAAGAGAACAGACTGAAAAACAAACGGGGATTACTTCCACGCAGCCCTGCCTCACCTTGTAGCTCTCGTATCTCTCGTAGGAGGTCCCTCCGGGGGAGTCGGGGAAGACGATGGGCTCAGAGTGTTGGTACTCCCAGAACTCCTCCTCTCCCGCCTTCAGCATCATGGTGGCCTTCACCATGTCCTTCTCAGGCTTGTTCTCATCGAAGCGAGCTCGCAGAACGCAGGCGTGGAAGCGGAATTTGTCTCTGCAGCGGGGAAAAAGGCCACAGCATTCAAACATCTTACATCCGTGTTTCTCTTCCAGCATCAGGCTGCCCAACGACCGGCGGAACAATACAGCTTCATACGCTGACCGCACGAGGCCGGTTGATCACTATGAATGGAAGATTATTTATTTTTAACTGTTGTCTAACAAACAGTGTTTCTTCCTCTTGAACAAACAACTACAGATGTTTGATTCTTCGTCAGCTCTTATGATGAAATGCAAGTTATGGAGATCAATTAAAATTAGTAAGATAGTCGTATATCGAGTGGTTTATTGATTCTCAACTATTAGCTGTATTAGAAACAGATGACTTAATTACACAATAAAATGTGAATTATTATCAATAATAAATCTCTATATCTAACAAACCTTTATTAAACTGAGCAGCAACCAACATAACAACCTTTAATTGTTCAGTTCAACATATGGAGTTCAAACAGAGGCCTTGATGAGTGACTTTATTGATTATCTGGATATTAATTGATTATCAGGCTGTTAATAAGTGTCGATAAGAGCTTCAGTAAACATAATGACAAACTTTCATTCACTGTTATCAACACGAGCTGTGGCCCAGTAAACCTGCACATCAACAGGACAGCAGCACGGCTTTAATGGACTGAAGAATATCGATAGAAATATAAATATAGAGAATATAGATAGAAATATAGAGAATATAGATAGAAATATAAATATAATATAGAGAAATATAGATAGAAATATAAATATAGAGAATATAGATAGAAATATAAATATAGAGAATATAGATAGAAATATAAATATAGAGAATATAGATAGAAATATAAATATAGAGTATATAGATAGAGATAGAAATATAAATATAGAGTATATAGATAGAAATATAGAGTATATAGATAGAAATATAGAGAATATAGATAGAAATATAAATATAGAGTATATAGAGATATAAATATAGAGTATATAGATAGAAATATAAATATAGAGTATGTAGATAGAAATATAATATATAGAGTATATAGATAGAAATATAAATAAAGAGAATATAGATAGAAATATAAATATAGAGTATATAGATAGAAATATAAATATAGAGAATATAGATAGAAATATAAATATAGAGAATATAGATAGAATATAATAAGAGTATATGATGAAATATAATATGAGAATATAGATGTATTATATATTTAATATATAGATATATAAATATAGAGAATATAGATAGAAATATAAATATAGAGAATATAGATAGAAATATAAATATAGAGAATATAGATAGAAATATAAATATAGAGTATATAGATAGAAATATAAATATAGAGAATATAGATAGAAATATAAATATAGAGAATATAGATAGAAATATAAATATAGAGTATATAGATAGAAATATAAATATAGAGAATATAGATAGAAATATAAATATAGAGAATATAGATAGAAATATAAATATGGTGATGATATATAAATATAGAGAATATAGATAGAAATATAAATATAGAGAATATAGATAGAGATAGAAATATAAATATAGAGTATATAGATAGAGTATAGAAATAGAAATATAGAGTTTATAGAGTGTAAATATAGAGTATATAGATAGAGTATAGAAATAGTAGAGTATAGAGTATATAGATAGAGTATAGAAATAGAAATATAGAGTTTGATGTATATTGAGAATATAATATAGAGTATAGAGTATATAGATAGAGTATAGAAATATAAATATAGAGTATAGAGTATATAGATAGAGTATAGAAATATAAATATAGAGTTTGTAGATATAGAGTATATAGATAGTATATAGATAGAGATAGAAATAGAAATATAGAGTATAGAGTATATAGATAGAGTATAGAAATAGAAATATAGAGTATATAGATAGAGTATATAGATAGAGTATAGAAATAGAAATATAGAGTTTGTAGATAGAGTATATAGATAGAGTATGTAGATAGAGATAGAAATATAAATATAGAGCATATAGATAGAGTATATAGATAGAGATAGAAATAGAAATATAGAGCTATAGTGAGTATATAGATGAGTTGTATGATGTTAATATAGTTTTTATATTATTTTATATATAGAGTATATAGATAGAGTATATAGATAGAGATAGAAATATAAATATAGAGCATATAGATAGAGTATATAGATAGAGATAGAAATAGAAATATAGAGTATAGAGATAGAGATAGATATAGAAATATAAATATAGAGCATATAGATAGGTTATAGATAGAGGATATAAATATAGAGTTTAGATAGATAGAGTATATAGATAGAGTATAGAAATATAAATATAGAGTATAGAGATATATATGTAGAGTATAGAAATATAAATATAGAGTATAGAGTATGTAGATAGAGATAGAAATATAAATATAGAGTTTGTAGATAGAGTATATAGATAGAGTATGTAGATAGAAATATAAATATAGAATATATAGAGTATAGAAATATAAATATAGAGTATATAGATAGAGTATAGAAATATAAATATAGAGTATATAGATAGAGTATATAGATAGAGATAGAAATAGAAATATAGAGTATGTAGATAGAGTATAGAGATATAAATATAGAGTATATAGATAGAGTATATAGATAGAGATAGAAATATAAATATAGAGTATATAGATAGAATATAAATATAGAGTATAGAAATAGAAATATAGAGTTATAGAGTATATAGATATAGATAGAAATATAAATATAGAGTATGTAGATAGAGTATATAGATAGAGATAGAAATATAAATATAGAGTATATAGAAATAGAAATATAGAGTATAGAGTATATAGATATAGATAGAAATATAAATATAGAGTATGTAGATAGAGTATGAGATAGTTATAGATAGAGATAGAAATATAAATATAGAGTTAGTTTACTGTAGAACCGACTGACCTGAGGCATCAGTGACCTGGCTAACACTTAGCTTAGCCGTTAGCTTAGCCGTTAGCTGAGCAGACAAACTGAGGCCACATCGCGTATTTCTACGGAGCTTCAGCGAACTGCTCTTACCTGAAGACGCACCACGACTCGAGGTGTCTCAGAGATTTCTTGTAGAGCCGCAGCACCTTTTGCTGGTGAGTAAGATAAGCAGAGGCCATTTTACTTTCTTCACCGTCCCCTGTCACCTTCT